TTTACAACTTCAGACACACCGCAGTAATGTTTCACACACCGATCTAAATAAAACGCCCACACGCTCCATGAAACAAAGGGAAGGCTTCACGTCTTCCCGTAAAGCAATCACTAGGAGAAAGATGAAGCGTAAATCATCCCGTGGTACAGCAGCACCTGGTGACCCTCCTAGGACCACACGTGTGTCGGACTCAGGTGAAGAAAAAACACAACACCTAGGTATGCTTGACCACCACGGCTCATGTCATATCATATCACACGAAAGTTGAAGCTAACAGCCACTCATGTCAACTGTGACAATACATGAATCTTACTCCAGTCTTTCATACCACGGCTGGAAAACGCTACTCGCATTTTTATCTGACCAGGATCTCAACTTTTGTAAGTCAATTAAAAACTAAAAGAAAAAAACGTGTTAAAATGTGAATTAGTGACTTATCAAAGGAGAATAAGGAAGGGAGTTGGACACCGCCCCCTATCTGTACCTATATAAATATACAAGGTGGTCGCCATAAGCGAGTCCGCCTCGGGCGATGAAATGTGTTTCTGGGTCACAAACACGAGGTACCAGTACAAACACGAGGTACCAATACAAACACGAGGTACCAGTACAAACACGAGGTACCAATACAAACACGAGGTACCAATACAAACACGAGGTACCAGTACAAACACGAGGTACCAGTACAAACACGAGGTACCAATACAAACACGAGGTACCAGTACAAACACGAGGTACCAATACAAACACGAGGTACCAATACAAACACGAGGTACCAATACAAACACGAGGTACCAATACAAACACGAGGTACCAATACAAACACGAGGTACCAATACAAACACGAGGTACCAATACAAACACGAGGTACCAACACAAACACGAGGTACCAGTACAAACACGAGGTACCAATACAAACACGAGGTACCAATACAAACACGAGGTACCAATACAAACACGAGGTACCAATACAAACACGAGGTACCAATACAAACACGAGGTACCAATACAAACACGAGGTACCAGTACAAACACGAGGTACCAACACAAACACGAGGTACCAATACAAACACGAGGTACCAATACAACACGAGGTACCAATACAAACACGAGGTACCAATACAAACACGAGGTACCAATACAAACACGAGGTACCAATACAAACACGAGGTACCAATACAAACACGAGGTACCAATACAAACACGAGGTACCAATACAAACACGAGGTACCAATACAAACACGAGGTACCAATACAAACACGAGGTACCAGTACAAACACGAGGTACCAATACAAATACGAGGTACCAACACAAACACGAGGTACCAATACAAACACGAGGTACCAATACAAACACGAGGTACCAATACAAACACGAGGTACCAATACAAACACGAGGTACCAATACAAACACGAGGTACCAATACAAACACGAGGTACCAATACAAACACGAGGTACCAATACAAACACGAGGTACCAATACAAACACGAGGTACCAATACAAACACGAGGTACCAGTACAAACACGAGGTACCAATACAAATACGAGGTACCAACACAAACACGAGGTACCAATACAAACACGAGGTACCAATACAACACGAGGTACCAATACAAACACGAGGTACCAATACAAACACGAGGTACCAATACAAACACGAGGTACCAATACAAACACGAGGTACCAATACAAACACGAGGTACCAATACAAACACGAGGTACCAGTACAAACACGAGGTACGAATACAAACACGAGGTACCAATACAAACACCAGGTACCAATACAAACACGAGGTACCAATACAAACACGAAGTACCAATACAAACACGAGGTACCAGTACAAACACGAGGTACCAGTACAAACACGAGGTACCAGTACAAACTCGAGGTACCAGTACAAACACGAGGTACCAGTACAAACTCGAGGTACCAGTACAAACACGAGGTACCAGTACAAACACGAGGTACCAGTACAAACTCGAGGTACCAGTACAAACACGAGGTACCAGTACAAACTCGAGGTACCAGTACAAACACGAGGTACCAGTACAAACACGAGGTACCAGTACAAACACGAGGTACCAGTACAAACACGAGGTACCAATACAAACACGAGGTACCAATACAAACACCGGGGTAAAAAGATAAGCTCTTGTAGCAAGTCGATGCTCTAGAAGTCCCCAGACTAACGTAAAGCCTTGATACGGCACTCAAGAAACGTTCAGCTCCAGGCTACATGCAGTGCACTATCACTTCCAGGATCTGATGGCGGGGTGAGGGAACCACGTGATCACATGGAACACATGGGTAAGAACTGCTCACCACCAGATAACTTCACCACAGGTCACCACGGCATCAAATGGGCAATTTAGTCGGGTGTACATCCAACTAATATCAGCTAGATGTGTACATCAGACGAACTAGAAACATGTACATCAAATAAACCACGGCATCAAATGGGCAATGGAATCGGGCTAAACGTGTACATCAAACTATCAGCTAGATGTGTACATCAGACGAACTAGAAACAGATAGATATGTACATCAAACAAACCACAGCTTCAAATGAGCAAGTTATTTAGTATGAAATCATACATCAGACGAACTACACAAATCTAGATACGCACATTAAAAAAGACGAGTAACAAATAGATGTGTACATTAAAAAAAAAACAGCTTGATATGCATAATTTTTGTAAACAGAGAGACATAATATAACACAGAACGATAGTGTACTATATTCCTAGCTCGCACATTAAACACTACACGACTTAACATATTCCAATAAGTGTTAAATAATCACAACGAAGAACGAATATCCTCTAGAACTGTGAATCCAACATGCAGAGAAGCATATCCAAAACTTCTAGAGTGCATGTCTGTGTGGTATGTCAAACCAGTGAAGCGCCACATCCAGCCTTGATATGCCCCGAGCCACAAACAGGACCACGTGGTTAGACCCCCCCCCCCCCCTTCCTTTAAAAGCCCCATTGTCACGTCTTGCCCATTAGGCTTCCCCCAATGGGATATTTTAACAATAGGCTGATGTAAAATAGAGAGGGGGGGGGAGAGAAAAGTGAATACAATGATTGGTCCTGGACGAAATACCTGTGTCGTAATGCAAGGAAGGAGCATAGCGCAGATAACGGCTCATTGTTCGTCAACCGAAAAAAAAAAAACCCAACCAACGCGACGAAAACAAATAATGGAATGCTCAGAGCAATACGCGGTAGACGCAGAGATGGCCCCACGTCTGTTTTTATTGTGAACTCGATGTTTGTCTGAGGAGGCGGTGTCAGTCAGTAGATCAAGATCCTGGTTGGACCACCATGAGTTACGTTAACAAGAGACCAAATCAAGGAAGGGGAAATGCTAAACATTGATTGTAACACTGCCATTTTCAACGGACTACTCATTGTAAAGTAAGGAGTATATTGGACCACCATGAGTTACGCTAACAAGAGACCAAATCAAGGAAGGGGAAATGCTAAACATTGATTGTAACACTGCCATTTTCAACGGACTACTCATTGTAAAGTAAGGAGTATATTGGACCACCATGAGTTACGCTAACAAGAGACCAAATCAAGGAAGGGGAAATGCTAAACATTGATTGCAACACTACCATTTTTAACGGACTACATATGGTAAAGTAAGGAGTATATTGGACCACCATGAGTTACGCTAACAAGAGACCAAATCAAGGAAGGGGAAATGCTAAACATTGATTGCAACACTACCATTTTAACGGGCCGCATATTGTAAAGTAAGGAGTATGTTAAAGTACATGTGTTGTGAAACTCTCCGATATAACAAAACCAAGTTTATTACAACAAAGTCGTCTAACCAGTCAACAGTTCATTACTGATCTAATCAAGTACACTAAGTTTATTACAACAAAGTCGTCTAACCAGTCAACAGTTCATTACTGATCTAATCAAGTACACCAAGTTTATTACAACAAAGTCGTCTAACCAGTCAACAGTTCATTACTGATCTAATCAAGTACACCAAGTTTATTACAACAAAGTCGTCTAACCAGTCAACAGTCCATTACTGATCTAATCAAGTACACCATGGCTATTCAAACAATTTACAATAAATGGCATGATAAAAATGAGGATAAAATGTTAACATGTTATCATACAAGCCACTAAACTTAAAAAATTAACTTCTCCATCAACACACACACAAACTTGAGTGTAAGTGGGGCAGAGGTAGTAGAGTTCACCTGTTTACACGGGCAATGGTTATGAGCAAAAGAATCATTCCGTCTATAACCATATGCCTTGCCTTAGAACTAGTTCATCAGCTATTTGCATTCAAACTGACGTGTACCAGTTCTAGCTTTAAAATTTTACGTTCAAAATGGCATGTTAGCATATATCGGGATGGGGGGTGGGGAGGGAGGGGATGTAGACGGAAAGTAAAATTAAAATTCATTTTACGTGAGTACAGTATCAGATTCGGATAGATCTAATGTATTCTACGTGTGAGTACAGTATCAGTTAAATTTTAATGCATTCTTCTGATGTGTGTACAGTGTCAGCTAGATTTTGATAGATGTAATGTATTCTACGTGTGAGTACAGTATCAGCTAGATTTGGATAGATGTAATCTACGTGTGAGTACAGTAACATATTTGGATAGATCTAATGTAATCCACGTGTGAGTATAGTATCAGCTAGACTCGCATAGATCTAATGTATCCTACGTATGAGTACAGTAACATATTCGGATAGTACTAATGTATTCGTTTGAGTACAGTATCAGCTAGACTCGCATAGATCTAATGTATCCTACGTATGAGTACAGTAACATATTCGGATAGACCTAATGTATTCTACGTGTGAGTAGAGTATCAGCTAGACTCGCATAGATCTAATGTATCTTACGTATGAGTACAGTAACATATTCGGATAGACCTAATGTATTCTACGTGTGAGTACAGTATCAGCTAGACTCGCGTAGATCTAATGTAACTAGCCTTTACTCACCGGCGTGGTTAAAGGTGTCTGTGTGCCCATCTCACGTTTCTTACTGCTCTCTGCATCGCCTTCTTTCACTTCCGTGTTCTGCTTCAACGTCTGGCGGAAGGAGGAAAAACACATTGAGGGTGACGGTGATAAAAAGGGGTAGGGGAGGGGGGGGGGGGGTTCATTTATCTTTCACAGAGTGGGGTGGGGTGGAGGGGGTTCGGTGAGACTCCTTTGATGAGTAGCTTGAAGGCAGAGTGTGCGAGTGGTTTAAAACAACGACAGGTGCCCAGGAAGTAGAAATTCCTACCTACCGAATGTTCCATAACTTATAGGCAGCGTGAGTACATTCGAAACTAGGCCATTTCAGTTTTTTTTTTAAATATCTGGAGCACGTACCGTAACTTCAGATATTCGATGCTTTTTTTCCTTCAAAAAATGTTGAACTAGGTACATGTCTGCTGTTATATAAGGCGTGCAGCTAGATTCTATATATGTGACTGCGTGTGTATATTTACTGTAAGTGAAACAATTAAAATGATGCTTTGTGTCTACACTGTATATTCGACTGGGGGAGGAGTGTTAGTAAAAAAAAAATTACTATATAGAATTATAATGAGTTCAAGTTTTTAGGCTGTTGTAAAGAAATCTCAAATTGATTCGCATATAGAACAAGCATCAGCTACAAAGGTCATAACGTGTATGATTTGTGTATCAGTTAGTGACAGACCCAGTCAACACTTCGACTACCCCACACGATTGTCTGCTCTTGTCCTTGAAGTTATCTGTCAAGATAATTCTATCAAGATAACTTTTGTAATTTGCATCTTCACTTTTTTTTCAGCTGAGAAAATCTGCCACCACCATATCTATTTACAAGTGGCCAGCTCAATATGGAACGTCTGCGATGTTAATCACGATAACCACACACCATTTTACGACTACCATTCATAAAACGAATATCTAATCGCGTTGATAAATGATTAATATTTGGACATTTTAGGTATAAACAACAATTGGTTCCCACAACGGTTTTATGAAAAGAAAAATAAATAGTTGACGTTTATTAAATGCACCTTTGTAAAGTTGTGTATTTCCTTGTCAACTACCGCCACATACGGCAGCAATAGAGCAGTGTGCGCCATATGAAGGTTTTCAATAAAATAGTACACAACCTTAAAGGTTACAGAGACAGGCTTAAAAGCCAAGAAAACCATTTTCATTGGATTAGGATCAAGAATCATAAAGAGAAAATGTATCTGGACGTAATTGCGCCGATACAGAAATAAATTAATCAATCGAAAATTGAAATACAAATATGGCTATCGGAGAGTTTTCCATATAGCCACACACAAAAAAAAAATATAAAAAAAGTTTTTTTTTAATTTATTTTTAAAATATTAAAACGTTTTTAAGACTACAAGTGTAGGAGCAACTTACCACGCTATGACGCAATCTCCCATTGAACACGACCAAATTACCCACCGACCACCGCTGGTGTGGTAACAACAAAAATAACTTGGTCATGTTGGTCAACAAACACCAGCGTCCACAGCCAACAGATAACAAGCAATTAAATTGTCGCTGTTTTCATACTGACACTTGCACTAACGAAACTTTGATAGCCTATCGACAGATTTCTGCAAGTCTAACCCAAACTGATGTCAACTAATCCGACCTTGAAAAAAACACCCAACACCAATATTTATCAAAGTTGTGCAAATGACCAGAACTGGCGAAAAAAATTAAATCAGCGGCAGCAATCAGCCGGGTCGTGTTTTTATGGTCACCGTACGAGCTGCCTACGTCAGGCATAAAGACCCATTCATTGGCGTGAGAACTACTTCAAACTATTGAAAGCCTAGTGGTCTCCCTGCTCACAACTACTTAACCCGCCAGTCTATTGGCCCAACAACAACTCATTCAAACCTATTACACGGAGAACCAGGCCACTGATATTAAAGTAACCCCACCCAATTCTAAAATATAGATCTAGATCTAGTCATGGTTAACTTGTCCCACCAAGACACGGATTAAGTTCGTTGCCTTATGAACAAACTAACTGAACGTAATTTTAACATAATTACAGTAAACCTAACCGCCCTTCTGGTAAACTCTTGGCATGGGGCAGGGGGGGGGGGGGGTGTCCACTTGAGATGAGCACGTGATGGGATGTCTCGTAGACCAGCGCCAGGTCTACCAGAAGCTCTAAGAAAGCACACGTTGGGAGGGCAGGGAGGGGGGCGGGAGAAGGAATTCCTGGCGACGGTCAATGCTTAACCACTTGACGGAGACCATGGTCCAATCAATGGACAGACGTCATTTACCAGAGGCTCAATGATGGTCTAATGGTAATATTAAACTCTGTCAGTCAGGCGAGCACTACAGCTGATATTAAATTGTGACGTCAAATGTAAGATGATATCGACGTCAATGAATACTTCACAAGTAAACAGGGTTTAAATTTAATTTATTTTAGTAACTGTAAGAATAATAAGGGTTATATAGGTTGGTATGAATTGTGATGGTCGGGATAAGTAAAGGCTTTAAGGAAGGAATAAGGGACGAAATAAACATCGAGTTCAAGACTACTTCCTATAGAACAAAGCAATGATTCAGCTACAAAAAGTACCAAAGATAACGTGTTTTCATAGTTACTTGGCATAACGTAAACCGCCCTCCCACACCACCCCCAACTTAAGGTAACATTCCCGGGTTGGCCCAAATTAGTTCACGTTTCTCACGCTACGCAATCGATCTAATCCGACACAGATCCATCCAATGACAAACCTTATCTTGCAGTCAACACCCCCCCCCCCCCCTTCGCCTTCGACACACACATACTCAAAATATTTTTTGTAAAAAAAAATCCATTATCAGTAAAGCTACCCCACTCCCCATGTTTTCATAAACATTGACAGGACTACTGCTAATAACGTTAGCCCTTTCACTCCTTCATGTCTGTTACTTCACACCTATCCTGTACGTTCTCACACCTACACTAGTCCACTCTAAAGGAAGAAGATGAGCACAAGTACGACTTAAACACAATCTAACTGTGTAGCATCCGCACCTTCCAATGGTGTAACATCCACACCCACCCCAATGGTGTTACATCCACACCCACCCCAATGGTGTAACATCCACACCCACCCCAATAGTATAACACCCATCACACCCCAATCGCGTGACATCCACCCCACCCCAATGGTGTAACATCCACCCCTCTAATGGTGCAACATCCACCCCCATCCCAATGGTGCAATATCCACCCCTCCAATGTTGTAACATCCACCCCCATCCCAATGGTGCAATATCCACCCCTCCAATGTTGTAACATCCACTCCACCCGAATAGTGTAACATCCACTACTCCAATGTTGTAACATCCACCCCTCCAATGTTGTAACATCCAACCCCACCCCAATGGTGCAACATCCACGCCACTCCAATGGTGTAACATCCACATCCTCCAGTGGTGTAACATCCACCCACATCCCAATAGTGCAACATCCACACACACACCTAATGGTGTAACATCTACACCTTCCAATGTTTTTCCCACCCTACCCTTGGCTAGGGTGAACACCCAGCTGACACAACTCTCACACACAAACTGTATCGAGACAACCTGCAGTTAGAAAACCACCGCTGTACTGGGACACTATTTCAAACCATGTCGTGTGTGAAACCACTTACATGGGAACGGCTGAAGGCACGTATCACAAATTTGTAGCCCGAATAACTATTTCGGTAACTTGTCAAGTATTTTTTCCCTAAGTATTCTTTATCTAATTTCTTGAGTACTTTATTGTGAAGTGTTTCTCTCAAAATATTGTATCTATTTTCTTAAGGTCTTAATGGTGCAGTCTAGTTCACTGGATATCTATTTTCTTAAGGTCTTAACAGCGAAGTTTTCTCTCACAATATTCTGTTCACAATTACGTGTATTTGCATGTAACACATTTCAAAATCAAATGACATTATATTTCTGTTCGAAACATTTGTTTTGGCAAGGGTTCTGATTATGTTAGGTAGGAAGGTGTAAACAGTGAGAAGGCACACAGTATATGTGAAATGTTACAGTAATTATATACATAAATGAAAGAGTGCGGTATTGTCGAACAAAAAGAGGTGTATAGCAAACTCTTTTGATAAAGATACTACATGTGTCCCAAAATTAATTCACCATCTTTAAATTTTAAATAAAGTGAATAATAACTAAACATCGCTAAACATTTCATAAACAGATGATTCCTACACCAGCTATCTATAATTTATCTTCACAAACTAAAATAGTTCAACGTAATACACTCATCATCTTTTCCCCTTAGCGCCCAAGACCCATAGAGCAGCCACAGAAAGCTCTTTTTACTTCTGCCAATTGTCTTGACAGTCTCTCCCCCCCCCCCCCCCCCCCCCCAAAAAATATAGCCCACCCTATGTCAATTATTTTGCAATGCAGTGTTAGAACAAAATATATTTTGTAAAACATAGGTCTACTTTAAGTCACTGAAGTATACTCCCCTTATTCCAACCTTACTAGTCGCTTCCCCTGGTATACAACAGATCTAAGAGTAGTCGCTTCCCCTGATATACATCAGATCTTAAGATAATTTGCCGTGAAACTGTTCAAGGTCTAGTGAAAAACATTTCAAAACTAAACAGGATACTTTTTTGACTGGTTATACAAATATTCTAACCTGACATGAGCTGCATAAACATTTGGTTAGATTTTTGCTTTAAATAAACACAACTAAAAATCCGCATGTTTGGTGATGGTAAGCGATCTACCTGTTGTAGATCAACATGGCATTGTCCCATGGGCTTCCAGTAGATTTGAACGTGGTCTGACAATTAGAGATATGAACATTCTCCTTATAGGCATACCTTGTGGTTCATACCTACCTATTGCTCAGGATTACATTTTCAAACTTTACCCGCCCCCCCCCCCCCCCTCAATAAATCTAGTAACAAAACACTAGCAGTCTGCGCTTCTAAACTGCTAGGAAATATAAGTCCTTTTAAAGAACGGCAATTAAATATTTCCTTTGATAACAAATTCATAATCCTTACCATCATTCAACACAACATATAAACATACTAAAACTTCGAAGCGCTGTTGCAATGCCCTGCCCACGGTATTAGTACAAAAAAAAAATACATAAAGGAAAAAAACATCTACAGCCCACCTGTTGTAAAGAAAGAGGGACAAGAAATGCAAGCAGAAAACAAGAAATAATCAAAACTTATTTAAAAGAAAGATGCTAATTTACCTGCAGTTTGGCCAATGGAATGATGTCACAGTTCTGTGGTTTGTGCCAGACCGTCTTCTGGCTGGTAGCGTTGTAGTAGTAGAAGCGGGTCGTGTTGGGGTCGTACAGCTCCCACCATTGGTTGTCGTCTGACATTTTGCTGCAAGCAGAACAAGGGAACCGTGGTCACGTGATGGTCTCTAATAAAAATACTTTTCTTTTTTACTTCCGTGAGCAGGAAGTTAAGAGTGAGAAACTAAAGGTAAAAGAGTAAAGCTGTAGATGAGAAAATGTTCATACCGCGATACAGGTTTAGCGCAGGGGGAGGTAATCCGTTAAATATGTTTTATCACGTAACGTTAGTGGTTAGCTCCTCTTGTAATGAAATTGTAAAGAGTAAATGAATAAATACGACGAATATGATTTTGAGCATTTATCTAACAAGATGTTTGGGAATTTTTTAAAAAATTAATGAAGGGTTGATAATTAATTCTTCCTCGTGATAAAATTAAACGCGTACAAGTTATGGGGGAAGATGGTAACGTTAGTTAAAGCCAATAGCAACACAAGTAATGTGTTCTTTTATAACTGTTTTACAAGTAGATTTTTAAAGATTTGTAACGTATTAGTCACATTTCACACACAAACGAGCACCCTTTCGCACGTGCATACACACACATGTATATATACACATACATACATATCGCTGAGTTTTCTTTTGTTAATTAGGATAACATGCAACAACATCACAGCATACATAAAATACAACAATCCAGCCAGCAACTAGCCCGGAGCCGTAAGCTCTAGGATAACAAAGTTGAGCACCCAAGATTTTTCCTTAGCCGAACAAAATCCTCTTTTATCTCTCCCCCGTCACCTCTCCCAAAACACGTGCATAAATATTGTTGTACAGAAGGGAATATCCTCTCGGCTGTAGCGGCCATCGTGCACGAGCACTTTGATGTCGGAGGGAGATTGTCCTACGGGCGCTAGTAACCCCCATTGCTGGCTTTTAATAGGATTAGAAATACGAAACAAAAGACGGATAATGACGGCTCCAGAGAAACAGATATAAAAATATGTGTGTGTACGTAGACCTATCTATGTGTGTAACATCGTTGTCGTCTTGTCGAATAAAAAAAAAAACATGTATGTATATATATATATATATATATATATATATATATATATATATATATATATATATATATATAGACAGACAGACTTACAGGCGGATAGACAGACACAGGCGGATAGATAGATAGACAGACCGACATGTATGTAAAGGTGTATCAGACATGTATGTAAAGGTGTATAAGATAGTGGGCCATTAGACTACGACCAGGATTTTCTGTCTTGGCCTTGTATTGAACCACTGATCTAGTGGTAAAAATATATTGTTAATGCTGACAAGGGGGACATTTTGCTAGATGACCTCAGAAAACCCCAAAAAAAAAAAAAAATGGAGATAGGATTGTGCTGAAATTGGAGAACAATCGAAGCAAGGGCGGAATAGATTAGCTCGTGTCTGGCTAAAAATAGGGATGATGTCAACACAAAATGTAAGCATTTTTCTTACAGGTTTGCTTGTAGAGCAAGATTATTTTCAATGTGTATTTGGACATTTTCTTCTCTTCAGTTCTATATCCCGTGATATCGTGTGAATTACAATGATTAATCAGAGTTAAATTACTTATGATATCAAGATATCAAGATATCAAGTTGTATGGAGTTGGTGGGGGCGGGGGGGGGGGGGGGGGGGGGGGCGTTGAGTGGAGGCGTTAGCAGTTAGCAAACAGAACAACCTAGCAATAAATACGGAGAATCTATGGGCGGGTCGCTCTACATGTAACCTACCGACATCATCTTTAATGGTTGGAGAAGAAACAGTACACATTCTGACAAGGCTAGAGGAGAGACGGCGATACACGTTTTGACAGCATCCTTAGGGGAGTAACAGAGAGAATTCTGACAGAATGACTAGAGGAGAAAAACTTGGCAATGGTACAGACTACTCACTGGTACAAATTTTGATTGATGGCATTACGCCGAGCATCAGGTTTTTTTTTAACTAGGCTGGTTTATGGAGTCCTAGATAGAAGTAGGTGGTGATAGAGAAACCAGGCTGGGAAGGAAAATATTGGTGGTGTAATGTGAGGTGGTGGATGCGAGGTAGTGTATGTGAGGTGGTATGCTGTGGTTTATGGTATGTAGTAGCTTGATTGGTGGTGTATGTGAGTAGTGTGTGTGTGGTGTTAAGGGTAAGGTGATGTGATGTTATGAATGTGAAGTGGAGTGTATGGGGAGTGCGTGAGGTGGTGTGTGTGAGTTGTGTGTGTGGTGTTAAGGGTAAGGTGATGTGATGTTGTGAATGTGAAGTGGAGTGTATGGGGAGTGTGTGAGGTGGAGTGTGTGAGTAGTGTGTGTGATGGTAGGTCCAAGGTGATGTGATGTTGTAAATGTGAAGTGGTGTGTATGGGGAGTGTGTGAGGTGGTGTATGTGAGGAGGGTGTTGTGGTTTTAAGGGTAAGGTGTTGTGAATGTGAAGTGGAGTGTATGAGGAGTGTGTGAGGTGGTGTATGTGAGGAGGGCGTGGTGTTAAGGATAAGGTGATGTGATGTTATGAATGTGAGTGTATGAGGAGTGTGTGAGGTGGTAAGGATAAGGTGATTTTATGTTGTGAAGTGATGTGTATGAGGAGTGTGTGAGGTGGTGTTGAGAGAAGTCTGGCAATGCGCGACACGAAGGTGAGTGGTTTCCAATGAAGGCCTGAATAATGAGGTCATGCTCGTGGCTGCTCACACAGGTGAGTACACATGTGAGTGCTGGTACTCATCTAATGGAAACATCTGTACAATAGTTTTATATGACAGTGTGGGAAGGTATGAGATTTTATATTTTCATATATATTCACTATAAGCAAAACAAAAAAAATAACCCAAAATGTTAAAGTTTTAATAAATAAAATGTATTATCTTGGCATATGATTTCAGAGATTTAAGAGATCTTAGGTTTACCCGAAAGAATTAGAAGGCAAAAACGTCAAACGAGGTCTAATAAATATGAAAGATAAACTGCTAACAGTGCAGTGTACAGACAGACAACATTTATCGGCAACTGTGAAAAGCATATCAGGATAACCCAGACACCAGTGGGATTCTGGCACGCGAGAACCAGACAACTGACCCCCCCCCCCCCTCCCCACAGCAGACGCCAATTCTGCCCAGCGATCACCGCTATCCAACAGTAAATTTTTGGAGCCATCGATCAATATATTCACTATGGATAAGTACATTATCAAAGCTGTTCAGCGTGGACCAGCTCTATGACTACTAATAGCAACGGCTGGAAAATGAAGATGATAAAGAATGTGTTGACTAACGTAACACTGGATACCAGGATGCATCTCTAGCACTAGAAGGTATATTTACAGGCGCGATGACGTGGCGCCCAGACAAGAAGCTATCTTAAACGCCAGCACTGTCATGGGCTGTAGAGTAAATCTTGTGTATGCGACGGTATCAGGCCAGCCCACATGCGATACCGCGGCCCAAAATACGACCATAAAAATCAAATACGATGAGAGGCCAAGTTTCAAGGGGAAGACAACCTGCTCTTTTATTTTTCAGCAGCGGTGTATCAAGGTAGACGAGTAAACATCGGCGTTGAATGTGCACAATACACGTTCAGGTGGAGGTACTGAGAGGGTGGAGGAGGGGTGGTTATAAATAGGCTGGTAGATGAAGGGCAATGTGTGATGTACAACCAGGTTGTGTGATACGGTTGTGGGTGGAGGCTGACAGACAGACTGGGTTTAGATACAGCTGAAGGGGACATGTTGCAACAATGCAAGCACACCCCCGCCATCTCAGGTTATAGAGCTAGGCATGGTTTTCGTCAGAGAGGGATAGAACATATACTGTCACAGTCCCATCAGAGAGGAATAGAACATCTATTGTCACAGTCCCATCAGAGAGGAATACAACATTTATTGTCACAGTCCCATCAGAGAGGAATACATATATTTCAGTCATATCAAAGAGGAATACAACATCTATTGTCATAGTCCCTTAAGAGAAGAATACTACATCTATCGTCAGTTATTAAAGAAATCTGGGGGGAGGTAATGTATGTGTATGTATATATATATATATATATATATATATATATATATATATATATATATATATATATATATATATATATATATATATATATATATATATATATATACTTTTTTTTTTTTTAATCTCTCACATTTTACCAACTTAGAAATACAAAGTGAGAAAATTTTGGAGAAAGACTTTTTTTAAAACTAAAAGTGCATTTACTTGAAGCTAAAAGGTAATGTATCCTTCAATCAACTTCCTGATTAAAAAATAAAAATAACTTTTAAAAAGAACGAAACCCTTCTTTCATACAATAACCTGATTATTAGCCCTATCCGCCACACCTTGTGAAAACCCCATCGATATTAAAGGATTTTAGGTATCTAGACGAGGAAAGAAAAATCACCGGGTCTGTTTGGGAAACCTAGAGATAACCCACACCTTGCCGTAGCTGATACACCTCCAACCTCAGCTCGTGGAGGTAGGCGAGTGTCGAGTACCAATCACCTAGGTAACCGGTCAGGTGGAACCCTGCGTCAGGTGAGATGGACTCACTAAGGAATGTAATAATTGCTGGGGGCCATGCGAATAATTGGCGGAGACAGGCTGGCACGTTACAAGTGCCGGGGGTGAGGTCGTGTCACAGTGCGGATAGTCATAATGGTACTACTGGTTACATGTTTCAGTACAGCTAGTCATGGTGGTACTACTGGTTACATGTTTCAGTACAGCTAGTCATAGTGGTACTACTGGTTACATGTTTCAGTACAGCTAGTCATAGTGGTACTACTGGTTACATGTTTCAGTACAGCTAGTCATAGTGGTACTACTGGTTACATGTTTCAGTACAGCTAGTCATAGTGGTACTACTGGTTACATGTTGCAGTACAGCTAGTCATAATGGTACTACTGGTTACATGTTGCAGTACAGCTAGTCATAGTGGTACTACTGGTTACATGTTGCAGTACAGCTAGTCATAATGGTACTACTGGTTACATGTTTCAGTACAGCTAGTCATAATGGTACTACTGGTTACATGTTTCAGTACAG